GCTATTTCATAAGATGTCTTTTCTATTTGTCACTTGTCATTGTTATATGATTAATTATTGGGGCATTGCTTAGTAGATGATTTGTTTGAAGGTATCTTACAAATTGATTATTTAATTATACGAAACACAGGATACGGTCTTATTTCACATTTACTAATAATTACTTTATGCCTTCATAATTTATTTCCTAATACTCTCATAAAGACCGACAGCTGTAAATGTCCTCATTTATCTTTCTAAATCCAAGTCGTGATATTACCGTGTGTATATCAAACTTAATCAATTTATGTCTGTTGAAAATGCATAAGCGCAACTAGTAATATGTACTGATAAAGAATTTTTTCTCTACCAAACGCCAAATACTCTTTTTCATACCATAACTAAAGAAGCAAACAATTCAGCATTTAAAATTTCCACTTAAATTTCGTTTAAATTCCCATTGAAGTGTTTTTGTAAAAATGCTTAGAAATTTTTAAAATCATTTAAGCAACAATAACACTAAAACAAATGAAAACAGAAACAAATGTTTGCGGAGGACCGAAATTTTAATTTTATATTATATTTTTACAAAATAAAATAATTTATAAATATTCTCATCTAACTTCACGATATATTTCAAGTTCCTGCGCAACGGCATATCAGTCAGTATATCATGTAAACAACGAAAATCCTTCAAAACCTGATCAATATTATATAATGTCGTGTGACGTTTTGTTTTTCCCCCAATAAATGCCAGAAATTTCAAGACACCCTTATTGAATCATGAACATAAAAAGTAACATTGTATGAATAAGAACGGAAAATACAATTAAAATAAAGATTCAAGAGTTTTCCATCTAATAGTGAAATGTAGTATTATGGCAAAAAATAATTCCGAATTTATTATGCAATAGAATATAATTTATTTTCTATTTCTTAATGAATATAGGACTATTTTACTTTATGTATACTAATGAACATTGACTCTCTTCTTATCCTGGGATAGATTAAAAAATTAATATTTTCATCTTGAAACCATTTTATAACTTAAATTATTAAAGAAATAATTATTGTCTCTCCTCAAATTAAACCAGAAAATTTATAAGATAAATTTATTAATGTTAATTTATAATTATTTCATTATATTTTAATAGGAAATATTAAATATCAGTAAAATATTTGTAAATGTTAAATAAATATTAAAACCTTCGAATATAAATAATAATAATAATAATAATACTTTAATATTCATAAATATAAAATTTCTTCTTAAAATATATATTCATTACAACGACTTTTATTGAATTGGTTTTATAATCTTAAAAAATAGAACGAATTGTATTGTGGTTCGAAATCTTCAAAAAATAAAAATTACTTTAAAAATGATTTCCTTTTTTTCTCGTTAATATTTTATTTTGAATCTGCCAAATAATAAAATGTTTTGCAGTTTTTTTTAATGTTGAAATATAGAAATAACAATTTTAAAAAAATAGTTCTATCGATTCATATAAGAAATGTAATTTTTTTTAAAAGAATCGATAAAATCCAATAACAAAAACATTCCTTTAAAATCACGTCGATTCTTTAATATCGTTGAGATCTTTATGGATTTGTTTTTTATCATTAGATGGTTGTTTACTTTAATTCCTTGTTATATTTATTTGTCATTTCTGTCAAAATTTCATATTTTGTTCTCGAGAATTTATTAATGAGTTTTTATCTAATAATAAAAGACAATTTCTTTCAAACAAAATTAATAGTTGTTTTCTTATTAATATAACCATCTTTTAATTAAATTGATTAATGACTTGCTTATTCGAAACATTTAATTAAAGCGATTAAGAATTACTTTTATCAGTTGTCTTTATAAAGTAATATGATTGATTAATTATTGTATTTATTAGTAAATAAATTAAATATGTTTACGGTGGAACCCACGATAAGCTTTAAAAAAAAGCCTTCTTCCCACAAAGCGGAGAGTGAAAAAACTCAAAAAATTAATATATGATTTTACGAATATAACTTTATCTATAAAAAAATATTAAAATAATCCTTTTACCCTAGTAAATAGTTTAATAAAACGAATTACTAAAAATCTATTCTCCTAGCAATTACAAAATGTGTAGACAATTTAAAATTTTTGAAATCAAGCTTACATTTATGTATAGTGTTTAATAGAATAAGAATGCAGCCGATATGCTTGATATTCAATTTGTATCACTCTGCTGTGACATACAAAAACAGGTATTTTATTTAGCTGTACCAATTTCAATTGTTTTCAGCAACGATGTCATTGAGAATAAATTTGAATAGTCATTCTGTAAGTTTCAGTTTCTTTTAAGTGTTATATTTGCTGGTTTTCGTGTTATATTGTTTTCAGAATTTTTAGTAAATTGTGGATAGTACTAATGACAATCTGATTACATTCCTGTACAATCTCATAAAAGGTAATTTTTCGTTTAAGCAGGACACGAACATAAACTATGGAATCACAATCTACGGAAAGTTTTAAGAACAGTAGAAAAATTAGAAAATAAAATGTTTAAATATAAAAAATAAACTTTACAAAATAAAATACCAATATGAATTTTAAACATTTCTTTGCAGAATAGAATGTGTAATTGATATGTTTTATGTATTAGGCTATTTCATAAGATGTCTTTTCTATTTGTCACTTGTCATTGTTATATGATTAATTATTGGGGCATTGCTTAGTAGATGATTTGTTTGAAGGTATCTTACAAATTGATTATTTAATTATACGAAACACAGGATACGGTCTTATTTCACATTTACTAATAATTACTTTATGCCTTCATAATTTATTTCCTAATACTCTCATAAAGACCGACAGCTGTAAATGTCCTCATTTATCTTTCTAAATCCAAGTCGTGATATTACCGTGTGTATATCAAACTTAATCAATTTATGTCTGTTGAAAATGCATAAGCGCAACTAGTAATATGTACTGATAAAGAATTTTTTCTCTACCAAACGCCAAATACTCTTTTTCATACCATAACTAAAGAAGCAAACAATTCAGCATTTAAAATTTCCACTTAAATTTCGTTTAAATTCCCATTGAAGTGTTTTTGTAAAAATGCTTAGAAATTTTTAAAATCATTTAAGCAACAATAACACTAAAACAAATGAAAACAGAAACAAATGTTTGCGGAGGACCGAAATTTTAATTTTATATTATATTTTTACAAAATAAAATAATTTATAAATATTCTCATCTAACTTCACGATATATTTCAAGTTCCTGCGCAACGGCATATCAGTCAGTATATCATGTAAACAACGAAAATCCTTCAAAACCTGATCAATATTATATAATGTCGTGTGACGTTTTGTTTTTCCCCCAATAAATGCCAGAAATTTCAAGACACCCTTATTGAATCATGAACATAAAAAGTAACATTGTATGAATAAGAACGGAAAATACAATTAAAATAAAGATTCAAGAGTTTTCCATCTAATAGTGAAATGTAGTATTATGGCAAAAAATAATTCCGAATTTATTATGCAATAGAATATAATTTATTTTCTATTTCTTAATGAATATAGGACTATTTTACTTTATGTATACTAATGAACATTGACTCTCTTCTTATCCTGGGATAGATTAAAAAATTAATATTTTCATCTTGAAACCATTTTATAACTTAAATTATTAAAGAAATAATTATTGTCTCTCCTCAAATTAAACCAGAAAATTTATAAGATAAATTTATTAATGTTAATTTATAATTATTTCATTATATTTTAATAGGAAATATTAAATATCAGTAAAATATTTGTAAATGTTAAATAAATATTAAAACCTTCGAATATAAATAATAATAATAATAATAATACTTTAATATTCATAAATATAAAATTTCTTCTTAAAATATATATTCATTACAACGACTTTTATTGAATTGGTTTTATAATCTTAAAAAATAGAACGAATTGTATTGTGGTTCGAAATCTTCAAAAAATAAAAATTACTTTAAAAATGATTTCCTTTTTTTCTCGTTAATATTTTATTTTGAATCTGCCAAATAATAAAATGTTTTGCAGTTTTTTTTAATGTTGAAATATAGAAATAACAATTTTAAAAAAATAGTTCTATCGATTCATATAAGAAATGTAATTTTTTTTAAAAGAATCGATAAAATCCAATAACAAAAACATTCCTTTAAAATCACGTCGATTCTTTAATATCGTTGAGATCTTTATGGATTTGTTTTTTATCATTAGATGGTTGTTTACTTTAATTCCTTGTTATATTTATTTGTCATTTCTGTCAAAATTTCATATTTTGTTCTCGAGAATTTATTAATGAGTTTTTATCTAATAATAAAAGACAATTTCTTTCAAACAAAATTAATAGTTGTTTTCTTATTAATATAACCATCTTTTAATTAAATTGATTAATGACTTGCTTATTCGAAACATTTAATTAAAGCGATTAAGAATTACTTTTATCAGTTGTCTTTATAAAGTAATATGATTGATTAATTATTGTATTTATTAGTAAATAAATTAAATATGTTTACATGCAAGTTATTTCGTCTAATAATAATATAATAATAAACACATGTTTTGTACAAATTTTCGTAGATATTTTATTTGTTAGCAATTATAAATATGGAGTAGTCTAGAGCTAAAAAACAAAGATTATTTGAGAAATTCGGCTGAGTTCTCTATTATGTTATTAAGATTATAATTCACTTTTTACTAGTAGTAAATAATGTGTTTACATTATTTACTACTAGTTTTACTACATGAGATATACACAGTATATGCAATGTAATATATATAATATAATAATGTATAATCTCAACATTAACTTAGTCGTTTATTTGAACCTTTGTACATAAACATGTTTAGCATACAAAGTCATTTGTCAATAACATTAAGAAAATTTATCTTTAAAATATTGGATTTGATTGAAAAATATTTTACAGTTGATTTATTGATTGAAATATTAATATATAAAGTTCTTGTTATGTGTTTTTTTTACATTTCAGATAAAAAATCCGAGGAAAAAACAACTCCAGAAATCTTCATTATATCTGAGAAGAACACTTGTGGCACCCAGACTTTACATTCCGATGATAATAATTGTATTCACCCCACTTTAAAAGATAATCATATGTAAAAATTGCTCAATACCTAAATAAAAATTCTATTTCATTACAACCTTATTGCTTGATCTTTACGTACAGTACTGTACAGTACATCATTACATAATCTTATTGCTTGATTATTAAATGTTTGCAGATTTTGTTGTACACCTATAATAACTGATTGATTGAAAAGTTAAATATCGAATTAATTTTAGTTGAAAATTTAATTATAAACGTCATATTTTAAGTCGGTTTTAAAAATTTAAATATAAATACTTTTTTTAACTTTCTTATTTCAAATTTTATCCCTATATATTATAATAAGTATTGTAAAAATTAAATTTAATCTGTTATAAAATAAAATAGTCTTGCCTGTATTTTGCGTCTTTGTTTAAAAGATATAATAAACTGTATTAAGTTATTAGTATTTAATTTGATATGAATCAATTGACTAAATTAGTTTACTAAATTTTAATTTTTATTTAACATACAAGCAATTATTAACATGTTTAACGATTATATGATTGCGTGGCTATTAGTAGACTATTAAATCCATTCGTAAGAATTATTATAAAGAAATCTAATTTAAAGTGTTTAGAAATATGAATGAAATTACAAAATTGAAGACTAAATACAGAATCATTTTGAAATCCATTCACAATTGTCGAAAAACAACGCTAACCGAGTCTGTTTTTACAGGTTTTTCCCCGCTTACAAAAAGATTGTTTAAAAGTCTCTCTGGAATAGGATACAAGTAGGAATATATTTAAAATTCTTCTAAATAAAATTGTGTATATGAATTGAAAAAACTTACAGCGGAAGTTTAACTATTTATATGCATCACTTCAGAATGCATCGATTATTATCAACGCATGACAAACGATGGTTTTCAATAAACTAAAATATTTATTGATATACAAGTGAAAATCTGTTGACAGTTCTTTATTCTGCTTAATAGTTTGACAGGCATCTTAGTGAAAACGTGAATAAAGGATATAAAAATAAACCAAACATTCCTGTAAACACTAACACAGTATATGTATATTTATTTTGCATGTTTATTTTGAATGTAAAAATTATTATATTTTATGTAAGACTGTGTAAACACTTCGAATAATTTCGGGTATAATAATAAAATCACGTCAAATAACTGTATTGAAAAACTATTTAAATATATATTTTTCAGTAGTCTAAAAGTAAAGAATATCGATTATATCGACTTTCATCTGTCAAAAATAATTTATAGTTAAAAATACAGGCAACAGTAAAGTAAATACAAAGGAAGAATCTGGTAATAAAAAAAATAGGAAAAGCAAGAAAAAAGTGTTAGAAAACGAAAAATATATCAAATAGAATAATAATAACTTATAAGTTTTATTTTGCAAAAAGAAAAGTTGCATTTAATATATTTAAAAATCAGAAATATTTTAAAACGGTTACTTATAACTTGTATAAAAATTAATAAAAATTCTAATATTAGTTTTTTAAGTTAATCTCATTTTATCTAAAATTGCATTCATTTTTTATACAGCATTACGTATTAAAATTGGCAAAATAAATTTATAACAACAACTTTATATTTAATAATAAATAAATAAATAAATATTTTAGTCAAAAAATTATTTAATTTTACGCAGTAAAACTTATAGCAGATTACTTTTTCCGAAAACAAAACATTTCCTTATATAAAAGTAAATACAGTATATAAAATAATTCATATTTTGTTTACATCCTATTCCAATACTGAAATAAAGCAATAGATATTAAATTTATTGATTTCTGGTATAAGCTTAAGTACACTAATTGTAATTTGTCTTTTCGTACTCAAAAGAAAAATAAGAATAATTAATATAACAATAAACAATAGAAATTTGTATCATATGATATTTGCATTTAATTATTTTATCTATGTATTGTAAATCATGTATATTATTATAATATAATAAAATTCTGTATTAAAGATCTATTATTGTTGGTTTAAATACAAAATTATATCGGATGTAAAAAGTAATCCCTTGCATATTCTAAAAAGTTATTTCTTATAACTTTGACAATTATTTTCTAAACAGCTTATCAAGAATTCATTATTTATTTAGTATTTTTATGATTTATTCATTCATTCATTTGAAAATTAGATTTTTTAAGTTTTATAGAAAATAATAATAAAAAACATTTAAAAAATAAATAAGAAGTTATCATCTACAAAATGATTAATAAAAACGGTTTTTGAATTATCCAGATTTTTAATGTTTCTGTATAATTATGTCCTTAATATAGCCTAATTCGCAAATACAGAGTGGGACACGAAAAAGTAGCCTCTATTCATACCTTAGCAGAAACTCGGAATAATGCAGTAATAAAAACAAGAGCGAACTGCTGGTATCGTTGTCATAGATGTTGGAATTGCACAGCTGCGCATATCGAATCATGTTTAAAAACACCAGGCGTAATATAATGATATCGATGGAGGCTATTGCCTAGCTGATGATTCCTGTATTGTGTGCATGCAAATTTGTACCATAACGAACACCAATGTTCCACTCAACTCCGGACTCGAACCGACCAGGACTGTGTTTTACCATTTTTAGTCCATTTTTTAAAATTGATTTAACATTGGATAATTTTTAAGAAATGAAATCATATTCGCCTCTGCGCGTTTGTTGACTGTCGAATTTCTTCAACATAGAGACACTTATGACTTGCAAAACTGGCTCAAACTAATTCTCCATTTCTGGAATGATAAATTGTCTATGATCGATTGGTGACCTTTCTTCTGTGATCCTACCTACCGTTTCAGTATTTTAGTGCTTGTTAACTTTCTACTGTTTTTTCTTTTTCTTTATTTGTACTATTCATCAAATCTCTGGGACTTTGTCCGTTTGTTTAGCTTAAGCTCAGAAATTCACCAGCTGCACATTTATTTCCTAAGGGAATGTCTTAATAGAAGAGTAAGGATTTCGAGCAATAATCTCCCTATGAATCGAATAAAAAGGAAGAAAATAATTTTTCTAAAATACTAATAACGTCGATCAATAAACTATAAACAAAAAGATGAAAAAAATTTTTTTTTTCGTTTTTGACTCTCCACCTGTGGATACTAAGAAAGACCTGTTTCCATGTTCATTGTGGGCCTCAAATTGTTATTATAAGGTGGTAAGGGATGGGACGATATACGAGGGATCGATCACCCATGAAAAGTTCGTGGGGTTACTTTCCCGGATTCGATTTCGAGTTTCCAGAGCAATGGGTTGACCCTATACCCAACCCGTCCATTCGACCTTCTGAAATAAAATTTGCAACGTTTGTAGTTAAGAATGTCGAAAGCTAAAGGTTTGTATTTTCACACTTGTAAATGTGGAACATCAAATTTCGATATTTGGGAACTTGCATGTTTATGTGTCACATAGCAATATATAGTCAATAATTTTCTGATAATTATATTAATACAGATAATTTATTAACCTTCTTACCAAGACGATCTTATCAATTTATAAAGCTATACGAATTAAATCGTAGTGATTATAAGATAAATTCACTGCTTTCGGTTGTGTTATTTAATCGCCGTCGTTGATAAATTTCTTAGATAGTGTGCAAAATTTCAAGATTTTCTGTAATGCGGTTGCCAAACTATAAGCATTAGAAAAGAGTTTCTTGTCTTCAAAATTGTTGAAACTAATATCTCAAATACTATAGTAGAGATGACAGAGTCTTACCACACTGCTACTGGTAACATCAAAATGGCACTTCCGTCGTTTTGACGTTACCAGTATCAGTGTGGTAATTGAAAAGTAAAAATCGCAAAAAAGCTGTCTTTTCTTCTCCTTCTTTTTGTTTCATCCGGCACTACAGACTCTTATAGAGAAAAAACTATCGGGTCTGGAAAGCTCAAGTTTTAAGCTTAAGCCTTTCTCGTTATCAGTGATGTACTGGCGAAACTTCTGGGTCGACAGGTCAAAGTTTCTCATAGAGCTAGTTCAGTATTACGACTTAATTTTATGCTTATAAAGATAAAATTTATGGAAACAAATATATTTTATTCATTTGTTTCCATTAATTTTATCTCAGTCACTCAAGATGTCCAATGTCACTGAGAATTTTGTTTGATAAAGATAAACTTGGCTCTTTGAAGCGTATCCAGCCTGTATTACTGTTTTCTACATTTCGATTTCGCCTCGAAACGCCGAGCTTACCGTATCTTTACGAAAGAAATCTTGTAAGAAAAATTTTGACCATCATAAATTGTCATAAATTTATTTTTATCTCAGATGTTTTTGTTTGGATTACTTATTTCCGGAAATCGTTTCGTCTTTATTTAACCGATTCACATACAACTTCTGAAAAATTCAACTTTTCTAAAGGCGAGAAAAACTCGTAAATATCTCTATTAAATTCCGCATTTTTTAAATTCAGATTTTTGGAATTTAAAATTCAGAAAAGATCAACGTCGAATAGAAGAATATTATTGCAAATAAACGATTAACTTGATAATATATTGAAATGGATTTCCGCTGCTGTAACTATCGACCAGGTAGGAAGCCTCGTAACTTCAGAAATTGTTCGATTATAAGAAATATTTTTAGATCCATTTTGTTTTCCTATCCAATATTTATTTATTTTAATGTTAATCAATTATATTTAATCAGTTTTCCTACTTAATTAAATAATTATTTTTTTATTTCTGCGAAGATCGTCATTTATTTTACTCATAGTAGTATATATTATATTTGAATTAAAAAAATATAGAATAATTTCCTTTATTTATTTAATTACAAAATAAATTAGAGTAACAGAAAATATCAAGATTTTCGGTTTGCATTTAATATCGGTAAATAAAAAAAAATAAGATTTTACTTGTCAGAACTAAAGATACTCGAAGGTCTAATAAAATAAACTTAAAATATACATATATAAATCAAAATATGCAGATTTAAACAGACAAACAAATGTTGTTTCCATAGACGTTAAAAAATATTTGACACTATTTTAAACGAGATTTTATTTCAAAAACTGTAATAAAGTTCTTTCAGTAAACTAGAACGTCACAGTCAGTTAAATAAAAGAAATATTTATTATCATTTTAATCATATATATGTGCACATATCAGTTCATCGCAGATATAAGATTGTTTTATAGAAGAAATATGGAAAAGATGTGTAATATTTTAATATGCTTTAGGGAGATGTTTTCGGTACATTAGTTCCTAGCAGTTTCTGTTTGTTTAGTAAAA